TTCCCAGGAGAAAATTGGACCATAATTCTTTCTCAGTTATAAATTCTGGCTTTTTCTGGTCTACTGAATCCATCATAAAATAAAACAGAAATGAATACTGAAATTTGATTTACAATTCCAAATTCATTTTCCCTGATCCAGCTTTACTGTGCCTGCTAAAAGCAGCCCTCATCCAAGAAGTTAGAGAAATGGTAAATCAGACAGCTGGACAATGATCATCTTAGGCAGTTGGAATATGATTTCACTCAGAAAACGGCTGAGAGCTCTTCAGAGAAAAGAGGCCCTGTGAGTACAAAGTGTTATTCGTGGTATTGCTAGTTTGAGGGTGATTGCTCCTCAAAGAATATGCAGGGATGAAGGATAAAGCCATACAGCCCAGAGACCCTCGACAAATATTTCACAGAATTAAAGCATCTCCAAATCGGAAGGCATCTCAGAGATCATCTTATCCAATCTGCACCTGGACAAGAACCTCTCTACAAGACACGTGATGAGTGGTCATCTGGTGTTTGCTTGGAGATCCTCTCTGAGGGAAAACCCACTACCTCCGCAGGAAGCCCATTCCACTTTTGGAGAGCTCTGATTCTTAGCAAGTCTCTCCCTAAGGGAATCCTAAATTCGCCTCTCTGTAAATTCTAGTTCTGCCCTCTGGGATCAAGTAGGACAGGTACAATCCTGCTTTTGTATGCCAGTCCTTCAAACACAAGAAGCTGGCTACTGAGTCTCCTTGACATCTTCTCCTATACAAGCTAAATGTTTCCAGTTCCTTCATGCCATTCTCAAGTGGCAGGGACTCAAAGCTTGCCCCTCTCCAGATCACCCTCCTCTGGATGCTGTCCTTCTTGTAATTTAATGCCTTTGAATAAACACAACACACTAGAAGTGCCACATTAGGGCAGAGTATTCTGGGACTGCCTTTTCCCTGGTCTTAGATGCTGTGTCTCTTTTCTTGTAGGCCAAGATCGTATTAGCTTTTTTGACCACCATATGACATTACTAACTCATTTAAAACATGCAGTGCACTAAAATCTTTCAAATAAACTGCTATCTAGCCATGTGTCTGCCATCTTGTACTTGTGAAATCAACATTTTTAACACCAGTATAGGATTGTATGTGAACACGAATATACACTGAAGGGAGTTCCATTAGCATATTGCAAGGTACCTAGTAGAGAACTAATGATTTTATACTTATATATAAATTTCCATACAAAATGTCCAGAGGTCAACTCCCAGAGTTGACTTATGTATTGTCACAGCAACATTTGTGAGGTTGGGTATAGCCTCACCATTACTCTGCATTTCCCAGCTGAAGAAAAATCATGGAGAAATTCAATAAAGGAACTAAATCTCAAATTTATATTCTCGTATTTCTTCAGCTCATGTTTTGACCACTAAGAGCTCTCATAGAGTTCAGAGATGGAAGGGACATTGGAGGGCATCTATTCTAATCCTTAATTTTATAAATGTAGAGTCTCAGAGTTAAGAGACTTACCCAATAATACACAATAACAGAGCTGGGATATGAACCCATATCCTCTGACACTCTTATGCCATACTTCCTTAAGAGAAAACCAAAGGGAGAATGTTTAGAATGGTTTGCTCCAATTGTATTGTTTATTGGTGAGGCACCTTGACCCAATCGAACAATTCAGCCAACATGTGTTAAGTGCCTTTTATGTGGCATGACACTCCACTAGGTTCTGGGAATACCCCCCCCCAAAAAAAGGCAGGCTCTTCCCTCAAGGAAGTTACATTCTAATGTGTTATGACCCCAGATGTCTTTAGTTGGTACCCAGTACTTTATTCTAAGTCTGTAGCATATGTGAGATCTGAGTTAAATCTTTCTTTCCTCACTGTTCCTTATGGCAAGAAGCTCATCTTTGATTTTAGTGTGTTAGGCTAAGATACTGTATTTTTCCATCCTAACATTTATGGCTAATCTTGGAATGCTTGGGAGGAGAAAAAGTGACAAGACCCATGCTGCCATGAAATGATGATCATCTTATCACTTCCTTGATACCTCTCTTATGCCCTTAGAGTCTAACTCCCAAAAGGCAGGAGAAAAATCTCAGTGCCTGATATTCAGAGATACACAAATCTCTGGCCCCAGACAATAAAGCTAATATTCCTCCCTCCCTCCTTCCCTCTCTCCTTCCTTCCTTCCTTCCTTCCTTCCTTCCTTCCTTCCTTCCTTCCTTCCTTCCTTCCTTCCTTCCTTCCTTCCTTCCTTCCTTCCTTCCTTCCCTCCCTCCTTCCTTCCTTATCTCTCCTTCCTTCCTTATCTCTCCTTCATTTTTTCCTTTCTTCTTCTCTCCCTCTCTTCCTGACTCTTTCTTTCAAGATGCATCATACAGAGAAACTGAGTCTCAAACAGGTTAAGTGATTTGCTAAAGGTTACACAGGTAGTAAGTCACAGAGTCAAGATTCAAACCTAACTCCTTTATGATCTTGAAGTCAGATCACAAAGGAGTTAGGTTTGAATCTTGACTCTGTGACTTACTACTGTTTGAGACTCAGTTTCTTTCTCTGTAAAATGAGCCTGTTGCATTAGCTAACCTCTAAGACAGCTTCCAAGTTTCCTTCCAGCCCTGAATCTATGATTCCATGACCCTACAACCTAAAGCTCCTCTCTGTTGTAAATCCTATGGAGATCTTCCAACTTCATCATTTTAAAGGAAGAAATTGAGGCTTAGACAGGTTCAGAGACTTGCTTCAGATCACACGCCTCATTAGTGGCTGAGTCAGGGCTAGAAGCCTTCCAGTCTTTTAACCCAATATTCTTCCTACACTATCGCACTATTGTTTCTAAAGAAAACAGACAAAACAGGGCAGGTAAATCTTTCTCCTCATTCTACCTCTGTTCACATGGCCAAAATAAAGGTGGCAAGAAGAAGCACAGAACCCATGGCCCAGCCTTCTCTGGAGCTGATGAGTTTGAAGTCTGATCTTGCATCTAATTCATAACTCCTCAAATCTGGGCTTATTTTATTTAAATCCTGGTATGACCTTCCATGCAGCAAGAAGTCCTGCACTGCTTGGGTACGTGAATAATCTATTTAAAGACATTTTGGAAATCAATTTGTTATGGATGGGGAAATGGCCTGGTAGTGTTCTGAAAATATAAAAATAGCTTTTTAAGCTGATTATTTGAAACAACATCACCCCTGACTTCCATTTCATTGGTTTTCTAAGGTATGGTCCAACAATTTCTGGTCCTTGCACAGTGACTAGATACTAAGAAAGACATTCCCTGAGAGGAAAACTTCTTTCACGTGAAGTTAAGAGACCCAAGAGCCAGAAAGCAAGTCAATTAACTGCCCACAGGAGAGGATTTCTTATCTTTTATAGTGTCTTGGGCCCCTCTGTCACTCTGGTGAAGCATCTGGACCCCTTTTTAGATTCATGTTTTTTGCTAAATGCATAAAATACATAAGATGACAAAAGAAAACAATTAAATTGAAATACAATTATCAATTTTTAAAAAAAATTCACAGAGCCTAGATTAAGAATCCTTATTCTAATCTAGAGCTTTTTCTTGGCTTCTCAAATTTTTGGCCAAGGATGACATGAGGGGAGGAAAACTCACCCTGTTAATAGCTCTGGCTGTGTCTACACAATGCCAAAGATGAGAATGAAAATGAGAGGAAGACTAATTCCCAAAAGGTTGGTATTTATGCATAGCCAGCTATAATCGGCATCCTCTAGAGAAAACATCTGGGTTTCTGGTGAAATTTTAGATTTTTTCCACCAGTGTTTGGTAACATCATACACATACACAAAACATCAGGATCCTAAATAAACAGTACTCCATCTTTCATCTCTGTGCCTTTGCATAAGGTGTCTCATGTGCCTGGAATATATTCCCTCCTCACCACCTTAAAATCCCGATCTTCCCTCAAAGTTCGGCTTAAAAGCCACCTCCTACATTGCTGTGGTTTGTCCTTCAGTCTCGAAGAGGATCATGACATTAGGAAGATGTCCCATGACTTGCAAGTGAACTGGATTGAGTGAGGCAGGGCTATGCAAAGTTACTAGCCTCACTTTCTCCTCCAGAGCCATCTGGATCCAATGGCCAGATATAGATTATGATAATTGGAAATGGCCCAGCACCACCTCTTACGTGAAGCCTTCCTAGATCCACCAAGTGGCCAATGACCCTCCCCCTCAAATAACTATTTTGTATTTACTTATATGTGTGTACATTATTTACCCAATAGAATGTAACTAAACTCTTTGAGAGCAGGAATGGTTTCATTATTGTGCACTGCCTAGAAGAATGCTTGGCATATAGTAGGTGCTTGATAAATCCATGTTAATTTATTGATTTGCTGGCATGGGCTGCTGCGACCTTGAATCTTCTAAAAGATTGCCTGGTGTACTTGCTATGTCTCTGATGGGCTTTTCAGGGTTCTAGGAGAGTTAGTAACCTGTATACACTGACAAGTTTGTTCTGAAATACATGCATTGGAGTAAATGAAACTGCTCCAAAAGGCACAAACAGCAAGACAATCTAAGCAGACTGTTTGTTTATCGTTTGGTGTCTTGTGAGAACATGAGCTCATAGTCACAAATTTTCATTGAAACCATAATGTATGCAGAAAGGGAAAATTTAATTGGTGTCACCTGTCTGGGCTGGCAATTTCCTCTTGGATGAATTCTCAGATTAAACTGGTTTATTTTGGAAATTCTCTCTCTCTCTCTCTCTCTCTCTCTCTCTCTCTCTCTCTCTCTCTCTCTCTCTCTCTCTCTCTCTCTCTCCCTTCCTCCCCCTCTCTCTTTCTTTTTTCTTTATTTCTCTCTTTTTCTTCCTCCATTTCTTTCTCCTACTTCCGTCTTCTCGTTTCTATCTCTGTCTCCATCTCTGTGACCCTCTGTCTTTTTAGATGTCTTTCCATCTGTCTTTGTCTTTCTTGACGTCTCTGTATTTCTCTCTTTCATCCATCCCATAAAAGCTACAGATCACATGCTATGAAATCAGAAGAGCAAGCAATCATTACCTCCTTTTGCTGGGGATGACACCCATCTCCTCACTGTCTCCCTCTAGAGTCACCCTTCGGGCTTGCCACCACTCATCATCAGAAGCATTGATAACATGGAGAATGTCACCATATTTGAAGCTCAGTCCTTGACTTGGGAGTCCGCTATCTTTGCTCTTGTCATAGTCAAACATGGCTCTGAAGAGGAAAGAAAGAAGTTCAAAAGGACACATAACTATGGTTAGAAAGCATTCTGTATACACAATTTCACTTGGTCTTCATAATACCCCTACAAAGCAATTATACTAAGAACTATTTCATTTTTAGATAGGTAAGCTGATATTTAGAGAGTTTAACAACCAAAGTCACGCCACCAGTGTCAATTATTAGGCTTGAAATTGGATCGTTCATGCCCAATCCCAGCACTCTTTGCACATTCAATCCTTGTTGTTGTTCATTCATTTTCAGTCATGTCACACTCTTTGTGACCTCATTTGGGGTTTTCTTAGCAAAGACTGGAGCAGTTTGCTATTTCCTTCTCCTCTTCATTTGGTAGATGAAGAAACTGAGGCAAGCAGGGTTAAGTGACTTGTCCAGGGTCACATAGCTAGTGAGAGTCTGAGGCCAGATTTGAACTCAGGAAGAGGAGTCTTCCTAGCTTCAGGCCCAGCACTCTATCCACTTTGTCCCCAATCCATCGATTGCTAAATATTTACCAAGTACCTACATAAAACTTAGTACTGCATGATGTCAATATATACAAAATGTAAATTCTATGGCTTCATAAATAGAGGATTCTCAGTTTTGCTAGACCAGATGTGTCAAATACATAGCCCACAAGATTATAGAGTGCTGCTGAACCAGATGAAAACATAATTGGTAAATATTTAACAACATAAATAAAAATATAATAAAACACGGATAAAGTTACTATGTAGTTGTCTGTCAATATGTGCCCAGAGGGATCATTACATATGGTTTATTGGTCCTTGTTTCTTGTGAAGTGCTAGACAGCCTCAACAACCTGTTGGAGATTTATTCCTTTCTATTTGTCTCTATTACTCACACTCTGTGCCTCAATTCTAGGTCTCTCCCTGCCTCTTACTGGCTCCTGCTAAGGGAACACTCTTCTTGATGGGATATGATCAGAGGAGAAGTGTTAAAAGGGATGGAAACTTTCTTTAAAAAGGGTATAAGAACCTATATCAGACTGCTCAAAGTTTCAGAAAAGTGGAGGGAAGAGAGAGACAGAATTTGGAACTAAAAACTTAAAAAAAACCAGGGAATGTTAAAAATTGATTTTTACATGAAATTGAGGGGAAATGAAATATTTAAACAAATTGTGAAAAGGGTATAAGAATATTGAAACGTTTTTTGAAATATTTTCTTTTCTTTTTTTTTTAAAGGCAATTGGGGTTAAGTGACTCACCCAGGGTCACACAGCTAGTAAGTATCAAGTGTTTGGTCTGAGGCCAGATTTGAACTCAGGTCCTCCTGACTTCAGGGCCAGTGCTCTATCCATTGCACCACCTAGCTGCCCCTAAGAATATTGAATAGACCTATCTCATGGTGTTGTTGTAAAATCAAATGAGATATTACATGTTAAAGAGCTTTGCAAATCTTCTAGTGTTAGAATATTACAAAAGGGTTAGTGCCATTTTAAGTACAAAGAGATTAAATTTAAATTGCACTAAGACTTTTGGGACACCCTGTATAAGTGTTCATTATTATTGTTGGTATAATCAGAAGAATTGAAAGAACATTGAAACAAAGGAGAACTTTGGGAAGAAACCTGGAGAGTGTTCCTGTTTCCCTTCAGAAACAAATATTTGAAATTTTCCTCATTTGAAGGGCAGTCTGAAATAGTAACAATAATTATTCTTATCCCTGGCATTTATATAGTGTTCTAAAGTTTACAAGTACTTTATATATATTATCCAATTTGATCCTTACAACAACCCTATAAGGTAAGGAACTATTATTATCCTCAATTTACAGATGGGGAAACTGAGGCTGAAATAGGTTAAGTGAGCAGGTCAAATAGTCAGTAAGTATATTGAAGCAAGATTCAGACTCAGGTCTTCATGACTCCAAAGTGACCATCGACTGGTTGTCTCTAATATAAGATGACAACGCCATTTCTTCTGACTAAATCTCACTTCAATGACTTATTATGGCATGAAGGAGACCCTGGAATCTTAAAGTCTATTCCACTGGGGTAGGAATGGGCTGGAAAGGTTTCACTTATAGGGACCCAGCAACAGACTGAATAGCTATGCATACAACTGAAAATGATGCAACACCAACAAAATCTGACTCTAAATCTTTATCTCATTCAACAAACACAGTGCTTTGTATGAAGTAAGGGCAATAAATATGGAGTGAGCTAATTGACTTTGTTATTACTATGACTGTTATTATTGTTATTATTGATAGCCTACAGCATATGTGCTCAAGGAAAACCTAGTCAATTATTTTGGGATTGCATGGAGTCTACAATAGGACTGTGTCTATTTCTGATCCCAAGAAGACCATTTTGTCAGTTTCAGCCTAGGTTCCTCATGGCTTGCAGAGTTTGGCAGTTAAGAATTATTGATGGAGCATCCCCAGGGTTTATGGCATTGAACCAAGCTCTTGAGACATGGATTGAAAAACAAATCTGGGCCTTGTCCTCGAAGAACGTGAGGTCTAAGAGTTGGGCTGGCCAATGAAAGTGGTGAGCTTACATTCTAGACAGTGAGTACTGCAGCCCTTGTTTGGGCATACTATCCCTGAGGAGACAATGCACACTGCTGCCCAAAGAAGACCCGCTATGCAGAGGTGACTAATTGCAAAAAACAGCTGAAATTAGAATGGTTTGCATTGAGTGTGCTTTTTGGTTGCCAGATACTTTTGCTGTACTTTACCTACCTCAGAATCATAAACCTAGAAGAGAACACCACAAAACTAGGAAGAGTTTTGGAGATCATTTGGGTAAACTGCCTCATTTTATACATGAGGAAATTGGATTTGAATCCCAGGAATGCTACTTATGACTGCATGACCTTGGGTGGGTCATTTATATTCTATGGATCAGTTGTAGTCACTGTAAAATCAAGGGACTTGACATTATCATGGGTTCTTAACCTAGAACTGTGAACTGGGTTAATTTTTTTTTTGATAACTACATTTCAATACAGTTTGTTTCCTTTGCAATCCTATGTATGTTATTTTATGTATTTCAAGAGCTCACAAGCTTTAGCAGATTGCCAACAGGGTCCATGACATCATTAAAAAAAAAAAGATGAAGAACCTCTGGGCTATATGATCTTTAAGGTTCTTTTCTAAATACTACAATCTAAAAACAAACAAAGAAACAAACAAAAACTGAAGCCTAGAGAGGAGAAGACTTTATGATTCTGTGAAATACAGAATATTAACTTTTTTTTCATTGGAAGGAATGTCAGAGGCTAGCCAACTAACCGTTAGATAGAACATGAATTATCTCTACAATATTCCAGAGGAGTGGTCATACAGCCTCAACTAATCAGGACCTCGGTACCTAAAAAGGCAGTCTAATTTTGAGCAGCTCTAAGTATTAGAAAATTCCTTCGAATATTCATCCCAAATCTATCTCCTTGTGTTTTCTACCCATTGGTTCTCATTCTGCTCTCGAGGGTCAGGCAGAATAAATCCCCTTTTCACATGATTCTAATATAACATGAGCTCCTTGAGGGTAAGATAAGAGCCATTTTTAATCCTTCTACCTAAAGCACAGAACCATGATCATAGCGGTCAATAAACAAGTGTTTTGATCTGAATTAAAATCACAAACCTTCAACTATCATGTTGCTCCCAAGTCTTCACTCCTTTAGGCTAAGTATTCCAAATTCTTTCAATTGAACTTCATGGCATGACTGTGAGTTTCCCTATCCATTCTGGTTGCCCTCCTCTGGATGTGTTCAAGCTTGTCAATTTATCAGTTCATTCATTCATTCATTCATTCATTCATTCATTCATTCATTCAAGTCCATCATTAGTAGACATGAGAAAACACATATCCCCCAAATGTCCAAAGTGATGAACTTACATGTGCCATTTTTATGCCTGTTAGAACTGAAACACTGGAATCCACTAACTTTCTGGCTTCCTCCTGGGCCATTTGTTCACTCCCAAAGTCATCATACATACAAAAATAATCTCTGGCCTCTCTCTCAGGAGGGAGCTTTCACCACTACTTTGTTCTAATTTGACTCATTCACTGATGCCAAACCTCTCTGCATGCAATTTCCTGGATTTGTAGAACATATTTTATCTAAAAACATTGAAGACTAAGTATTTTTTTAAAAAAAATAAATAGCTGTCACAATTGTTGTCATGGTAACAAGAAAGAGCTGATGACAGCTTCTTTATAGCTAAAAATAGCTGTAGAAAAAATTAATATGCTTGGAACAAAATTCCTTCAGTCATACACTCTATCCAAGGATGAAAGAACAGGATCGAAGTAATGTGGCATCAATTAATCAACAAGCAGTTACTAAGCACCTACTATGTGCCAGGGACTGTGCTAAACACTCAAGAAATGAAGAAAAGCAAAGACACAATCCCTGCCTTAAAGGAGCTCTCACTCCAACGGAAGAGAAAACATGCAAACAATTATGTATTTATAGGACATACACTATTTAAATGAGAAGTAATCCTAGAACCAAGGTATCATAGGACAACAGAGCTAGAAGAAACTTTAGAAATCACCTGGTCCAACCCTCCAGTTTTATAGAGGAGAAAATTGAAGGTGAGGTGAAGGGACTAACCCAAGATCACATAGGAAATTAATGGTTAAGCCAGGACTGAGCTCTTCTGCACAGAGATATCACCATACAATGGTTAACTTTATTATTTGTGGTTGCAATTTTCACTGGGGGTTCTTTGGCAGATAACAGTTACAGTTGTTTTAATTAGAAGAATGATAAATTATATTTCTGTTCCTTATTCATTCATGCATATATTAATTTAACACACTTTTGTGCACACACACTATGTGTGATGCACCATATGAGGTGCAAAAACAAAAGAACAAAGATGGTGACAACTAACTAATGCTTTTACACCCATCCTTCCATTTGATCTTCACAACTGGGTAATGAGGTAGAATTCTCCATTAAAGAAAAAACCACAGACACCTGATCTCTTTAGGAAGCTCCCAGTGAACAACTTCCTCC